ACGTATATATGTATCTAAGTTGCATATTTGTGGCTACTGTGTCATGACTTGGTCGCTGTCTGAAATTATAGGCCCAACAGATGTTCAGAGATTGACTCGAATGTCTCACATGGTAATATACTTAGCAAAGTGACTACATTAGGTGCTATGCAGAATTTGAAGTTGTGAGTTTTTTTGCAAGATGCTTTTTTTTCATTTTGATTACAATGGCAGTTTTTTGAGTCATTGGTGGATCAACCATGTGGTTATTTCGATAAGTACGTTGGGCACAATTTAATTCCTAGCTTTCTTGCTGCTGTCTTTGCACTGTAGTTAATACAGTGAGCTTCAAGTTCTACAAATGCGTTCCTATAAAACAAATCCTGTTTTGCTTGGATTGTGGGAGAAACAGAAAATGAAACAGCTGGCCACCTTACATGTTGTTTAAGTTATTTGGTGATAACTGAAAATAGTTCTATTTTTACAAACACTACAATATTATTGATGGATTTTCAAACCATTTGTTTATACTCAGGAAGTATAAATCAGCCAGCTAGTCCATTTGCTCTTGCTCATACCTTCAATCTGAAATCTTAAACAGCGTGACATTTTTCTTCTACAAATCTACTTGTAGTCTGAGCAATAAGCTGCAAACAGAGTCTGAACTCGGAGGGACCTGAAATGAGAGAACTCCAGTTAATTCTCAACTACCTGAGTTTTACCTAATTTGGATAACTTTAAACTTTGTTGGGCCCTCTTGATGGATGTAAGAATCTAAAATTTACATTTGTGCAACAGATGTGTAATGAGTTGGGGGTGGGGGGAAAAGCCTAAGGAAGAAGCCTGGGATTTAGAGCAGTTAAAAGGGTGGGACATAACCCTAGCAAAACATTTTTAGGTGACTCTGGTCGCGTTCGTTTTGAATGGTTACATTTATTCCCTTTTTGTGGCTGGAAGTGTAATTGGGATGAAGGGAAGACTGCACAGTCAAATCTTCCTGGATCAATAGAAAATCTACACTGTTCCTGCCCTACTAACTCAATAAGTAAGATAACTTCCATCCAGCTTGATCTCTTCTCTGTATCAATACAGAACTGAGCAAAACTTAAGATAAGTGTGTAAGAGCTCAAAATTTATATTTAGGCAGCAGAGATATAATGATTTTGGGGTGAGAAATTTTAAGGGGTGACCCAGGATTTAGGCAAAGGAAAAGAGTGGTGAAAGAAGCAGGTCAGTCTTTAGCTAAGTTTGGTCCTCTCCCTGGCAGTAAGCTGACCATCTTTTTAAATACTCACAGGATAGTAGTCCCAAGTTTGTATTTCTAATCATGGAAGGTCTTTCCACTCGAGATGATACATAAATGGCTGGGAAGTTAAGTTTGACTTTTTCTTTAATAATCTGACCTATCCATTCCAGAAAGAAAATATTTCCTCGACCCCATTTGAGTGCTCATAGTCATGAACTTGTGGAGCAGGCTGTGTGCAGATGCAGCAAAAGGGACAATACAGCTTTGTAGTAGGGCAGGCCCATAATATAGCAGGCACTTTAAATTTTGTGCACTTTCTTGCAGCTGCCTTATTAACTAATATGACTTCATGTAGTGTGGATGTTTGCATATCTGCAAAAATCAATCAGCCAGTGATTATCAGCTCACACCTCCGCTTTTGTCACTTCAGTGAAAGTAACTTACCTCTTTTTTGGCTAAGCCTGAATTAAGTCAAATTTTTGGGAAGGTTTATTGCCATGAGAACTAATCTTATTTTACCAAACTCACCTTATTAATTACGTTCCATAAACCTCTGGTGTCTCTCACATCCGATCTCTGCCCTATCTCCTGGAGATCCTGATGGATGGAGTGGTGCCAAGCAGGACTTCTTCCTCCCCCAGGACCATCAGTGCAGGTGCAATGCCAGCCTGATCAGAGGTTTCCATCCAGGTTAGAGCAGTCTTGGCCATCTTGAAGAATGTGTAGAATTGCAGGAAGAAGGTCAGGGTAAGTTCCTTCTCTCTGATACCTCACACTCAGTCTTTCTCTCTGACTGTACCCACCTCCCAGCAAGGCCTATGCTCTACCATCCTCAATATTGCCTACAACACCTTACCCACTCACTCTCACTCACCCAAACTCCCAACATCACTAACCCTTCATGCCCTCTGTGTGCTGTCTACTCACTCGCTCAGCACACCTTCCCACCTGCCCAAACAGTAGTAGCTGTGCCATCTGCTTTCATTACCTGTAATAGTTGCCTCTTCTCACTCCATGAGGAAAACAGCCCACAACAAGGGATTGTGGGTATTGTATAACGCATCATTCGGCTCCTTGCCCATTATGAGGAGAGAATCCTGACTCTGAGTGCCCCAGGCAGGATTTTAACTGGTATTGGACGCTGTGTGAGTACAATGATGGCAAGTGAAGAGCTCAGAAATGTAGCCTTGTCCAGTAAATGAGCTGGGGGCATGTAGCTGAGTGCATAGCATCCAAGCTGCAGCATTAAATCATAGTTACCAGTGCAGCCTGAGGTACAGCATTAAAGAGCAGAAGTGTCCTGCAAATGAATCAGAGATGTATCTTGAGAATCATATGAGGCTGGCACATCACATGTCAATGTCTGTGAATATGGGGTGCTTGTGGCCAGTACCCATGTTTTGTGCTCCAAGATGTTAGAGCCAATGTGTTGACTGATTGGATCAAGCAGGAAGTTAAATCTGCAGGTGCTCGCTCTGGTCATGTTTTCCCAATGTCTTGCTTGTTTGGTGAGTTTGGTAAGATGGAAGTCTAAGTATTAATGAGGCGAGTTGGGCTGTTAACATGGTGTTTATCACTGTCAGTTGGCAGCTTTCCACTGCCTAGCGAGGATCTAACTATGTGTTTATGAAAAGTGTAAAAGTTGGCACATGTTGCTCCTGATGTTGAGATCAGCTTTACTGGACTTGTTACGCAATTCTGCCCCATATTTTGCTGTAGCCCACATTGCTGAGATCCAGATAAGGTTCCACCCTAAGTGATCTGCCACCAGAAGAAACTCACTCCAAGGCATCTCTTGTGGGGTTAAAAAGTAAAAAAAAAAGACCTTTTACGTCTCTGATGTTCTCCAGTTGGAGAGCAAAGCATCGTTGACCTAAAATGTAAACTCTGTTTCTGCACAGATGCAGCCAGACCTGTTGAGTATGACCAGTATATTCTGTTTTTACTTCATTTTTCCAGGATCAGTAGTATTTTCCTATCATCTCAACGATGTATTGCAACTTACACTTCGTTAACCAGACTGAGCTAACTTATCCCATTTTCATGGCACCGAGTCTGCCATGGCTCACAGTGATATTTCTCCTGCAATCCTCTGCTCTTCACCTGATTATGTATCCAGTGTCTGTGGTGCCAGTCTCATCGAATCATTTGGCAGGCTAGATGGAAAGACTTGTCGTTGCTGGACATTCCGGAGATCACACCGCTGGTGCTGGCTTTTAATTCCAGCTGAACAGTACTTCAGATGCTGCTCACTAGGAACTGCCCCTCACAATGTGGTGCACAAGCCATTACATTCAGGATATGGCTCAGAAAGGCTCTGTGGTTCAACGACAGAGACCTGCTGTATAGCAGAAATAGTCAAAAGTACTTCGGCCCAGCTTTAGCCTTGCACAAGTGAAAGCATTGTGAGTGGGTTGCAAATGCTTGAGATTAGAATTTAGCCCAGATTCCATCTGTTCAGAAAAAAGATACAAAATAGCTACATGTAAAATATGTATTTTTCAGGGAAGTTTCCTCACATTTAACTGAGCAAGTGCCCACATATCTGCTAGAGGCAAATTTTAATATGTATATTCAAAACAGTCAGTTGTGGCTTTTAATCATCTAAACTACTTGTTAATATGGCCTTCTTGTATACAAAGTTCAATCAATTCCATGCAAAGTAAATTGAAATGCAAAATACTATACTGTAGCATTTCTTGACTAGCCAGTCTCCTGCAGAGAGTAAAGGAGAAACAAAGTAAAGGTATCACAGGAATTGGATACAACACACCTTTGCTTAATATATTGCATATTCATATGGGTTGAAAACTGAATCAAAGTGCTGAATGATATTGCATATATTCTATTTCACATCTACAACCATTTTCTATTTCTAAATTTTCTGGCGAGGGCCAGTAATCTGTACTAGATATCTAATAAACGAGAGACTGTATTGGGAAATACAGGCCTGAAAAGACAAGATTCCTGCCAGATTTTGTTTTATTTCACCTTGGATGCCTTTTCATGTCTCTTGAGATCTTAAAGTAGAAACAGTTGCTGTTACTAAACTTTGAAGTCAAAGAGAAAGGCAATGTGCAGTGAAAGCATTGCTTTTCAGGGCAGCTCGCTCAAGCATTGATGTTTCGTGTTTGAGGATTATACAGGGAGAAGAAGCTGTGGGCTTGTACATACACTGGAAAAAATAAATTTTTTTTCCTCCTTTCATTTCACATTTTCATTTAATTTAATAATTATGGAAGCATGTAGCGTGAACCAGTGCAGATGGCGTCTGGTTCCACCCATTTTATTTTGCTACTGTGTTGCAGGATTTTACTCGTGTAATCTGTATGCATGGGTTTTACTTATAGTACAAGAAGAAAGGGCTAAGTTCAGTGATACATGAAGTGATTTGCACTGTAAAGAAGTCCAGAGGCATCTGCAGTTAGAAAGCATAATCAGATGAAAAATTGTTTCATCTGCTGTGTTTCATACACACACACACACACACACACACACACACACACACACACACATTCACACATTCACACACACACACACAGAGCAGCTTGGGCTTGTTATTGGAATACCTGGCACTAGCTGGTACTGATAAGCAGTCGTCCTGTGACTTCATTGTTTCTATTAACTTTGCTGCAAGTCATTTGCCATTAAGTACAATTGGAAGCATTTTGTTTTATTTATATTTATACGTAGCTTTCTGGTGCCAGTGGAAATGCTGAGATGTGGTAACTGCAATCAAACATCCAATCAGACTCTTATCATTTTTTGTCTCCAGGGTAAGAAGAGTTATTGCAAAGGTGGCAGTAACAGAAGATTGCTTTAAATAAGCAAATACTACTCAAAAGAAGGTAAATAAGAGGTTTGTTCTTTATGAGAGATTCCTTATTTGGAATTTACATTGTTTAATGAGTAACTTATGCCCACTTGGTTTAGTACTGCAGAGTATTGGAGAATTTTTGAAAGTACAATTGTGTGTATATATGTAAAACATCCATGATTATTCACCAGCAAAATGCTTTAAAATAATTGGAAAACCTGTAGAGTCCATTTTTATTTTAAATGCTATACCCTCTAGCTGCACTGAGACATCTACTTGGAATTCAGCTGTCTGTTTTATAATCACCTTTTGTCAGAAATTAATAGTCAGTTAAGTGCCATAGCAACGGTGATGTAACCATCAAGCAGTGACTGCAGAAGCTTGTGATGTAGGCACCCATTAGTGCTGTTGTCCATCCGACCTTGCCAGACTAGAACATTAGAAATAAATTTGTGATCTATTAATTGTGAAAGAATCTAAGATGTAAAAATACATCAAAACTAAATACTAGGAGAAACATTTTTTAAAATTTGGCAGAATTAATTGTTCTACCTGTTTTGTTTTGTGCATTTGTAATACTTTGATTCTTAAGAACTTTATTTAATCCCTTTGCCTGGCACAGAACTTAATAAACAACTTGCTAGTGCTAAAGTGCCACATGGGGGTGGCTGCTAACAAGAGAGTTTAATGTTTCTGCCACTAGCAGTTTTGTCGCTGTATTTTTCATGAGTTGTAACTACCGGTAATGTACTTCGGTAGCTCCAGAGCAGTAGTTAAACATAGTGACAAGTTAAACAGCCCCCAGGCCCTTGCATTAGGAATAAGAGAACACATAGAATGTCACATTGCTACAGAATGATTATAGGAAATAGAAAAAAACTTATGAATTTTTTGTGATTTGTCAAAATAGTGCTTGCTTTTGTTTTTTCAATAGCACAGGCAGAACTAATATTTCTTTAACTGCAGTACCTTTGGATTTTTATTGATATCAATTCAAGAAACTATGGTGGTTTGGTGAAGGATGTGGGGAACGGATGGTGAGATGTTATTTTCCAGGATGGAAAGAATGGAGATTTTGCATTAGCTTTATCTTGTCACAGTGAAGTTTGTGTATCTGTAACATGTACTTAGTTCTTATGGAAAGTAATTGAGAATATTAAAGGGATATGGATTTGACTGTGCTACTTTCTCAATCTATTACTAACCATCTGGGTAAAAGGCCCTTTAGGTTTAAAATCATTGTGTTTTCAAGAGCGTAGTGCAGCACATTATTTAATCATTCTAAATGATGCATTACTTCCCATTGAAACAATGTGACAATTGTACAAATTCTCATTCTTATTTTTAGATCTCTCTGTGGTCCTGCTCCTCCGTAACTCTGTAATTGGCTCCAGACCTAACACCCTCCAAAATATCTGCATTCCTTTAATTCAGGCCTCATGAACATCCCAGATTTTAATCATTCTGCTATTTCCAGTGATATCTTCAGCTGCCAAAGCCTTCATCATTGAAATTTCCTTCTTAAGTCTCTTTCTTTAAAATTGTCTTAAAACCTACCACTGAGCCAGTTTTTGGTCATCCTTCCTAATAACTATCTTTTGTTATTTGGTGTCAGTGTTTGCTTCATACTGCCCCTGTGTGAAGTACCTCAGATTGTTTTGTTCTGTGAAGCTGCTTTATGCATACAAGTTATTGTTGACATAATTTTGAAAGAAAAGCTGGCTGCATTTTACTTGAACTTCAGTTAAATTAGTACCAGTTGAGTGCTAAGCATGGATAGAAGAATAAGTGACTTTTAACTTGAAGACAGACGAAAAGTTTCTTAAGTACCATAATACATCAGTACTACATTTAATCAAATATAAAAAATTGAAATGCTCATCTAAAGAGACTGCAAGTTGGAATGGTGTAGTATTGTTTATTAGCTTAAAGAAATTGCCTTTTATGAGAAACTAAATGGTACAACAAAGTCCCAGCATGACATGATTCACTGTTTATATTTAAAGTCTTAACTTTGGAAAGCAGTATATAGCTGTCTCACTCTTCTGATTTTGTTGGCTTGTTTAATATTTTTTGCTTGTAATTGCACAGCCAACTAAAAAAGGCTGGAGCATCCTGCACCGCATGTGTAAGAAAACATCTGCAAGATCCTAATGAAAAAATGCCCCTTCCAAACCTGATGTTGTCCACAAAAAAAGATAGTCAAGGTAATGCTGTTTGAGTGTTAAGATGCAGAGAGTTGGCCATCATGCCTTTGAACTTGTGAACTGATACGTGTTACCTTGATTTATTGATTCTGATATGTCTGCATTGTGCATTGAGCTTTATTCCAGCACTATAGTTGGGTGTGCATTTTTAACTTAAAGTGACTTCCAGAGTAGTTTATGTACACCGTCTTCTCTCCAAAGCTGTAAGTGTGTTTTTTGTGTGGTGGGAGTACAAAAGAATGAATGAATTTAGCATTTTTGTAACACTTACATTGATTAATAGAGCTACTGCATGCGTAACTTAATGATCTAAACATGATTTTCTCTCACAGTAGAGCATAATTAAAATCTATACTTGTTTATTTTGTATAAAGGTTTGAAGCTTGTCTTAAGTTGACAAAAAATTCCTACATAAACAAAGCAGTGTTTCAAAAAAGCAACACAGTGGGAAAGGCTAAAAGAGGACTGACAAACACCATTAGCTGGAAAAAATTCCATTTCATTGCAACTATGTTATTGTTTACTTTACCATACACATCCTAATATGGTTACCTCCCTGTAGAGGCAGTATGCAGGGTTTGGGGGCCCCCACAGGGAACATCTTCTAGCAGCTTGTGTTTAAAGCCAGCAGTGTGGACAATAAGAAACAAACTGTATAATTCCACAAAAGGTTTCCCGGAAAAAGGTGTCACATAAATCCTAACCAGCTCTCTTCCTCTGACATTGGGCATTGTATGTGTAAACCTGTTATTCCGTGCTGCCCAAGTATTACAGTTCCCTCTAGCTGCTGTAGTTTATATGTCTGGCCATGTGCATCACTTGTGTCTCTGTTGCACTATAGAGAGCTTTCAGCGAAAGCCTGCTTCCTTGAGATGGAGCTCTGCTTACACCTCAGTTGAGTTATCAAGAGTAGTGGTTTGAAGGTTCCTTTTATTAGGAACATTAAGGTAAGCATGCTGATTTAGGCCTGAACCTCTGTCACCCCTCATGCTACTCACCAAAGACATATCCCAGTGATTAAATACTGATTTTGTGTATCATTGTCCTCAGTCGCCAAAACAATCACAGAGCTGTGCGTTTTGTTTTAATTGCCAGTTGTAGAAAAAAGAAGCCATCAGTTCTGAACGTGATCGGGCTGAGGTGTATTCACTGTAGTGTAAATAGTGCTGTAAATACTTGCTTGTGTTGGCAGTGCCTGTCAGCTAGTGCTGAGTTTATTCATGCCCATCTTTTCTCATCTGCTTGCAACTCATCTGAGACCTCACATCCGTTCCAAAATCCTCATGTTACTGAGGCTCGTAAGTTATCTGTACGCTAGAACAAAGGTAGGTTGTTCCACAATGGGACACTGTGGGAGGGACAAGTGGTTTTTGGAAGGTTGTCTTCCTAGCGCTTGACTGTTCGACCCACAGTGAGAAAGGTTTAGAGAGAGGAATTAGCTGCTAGGACATGTGTCACTGTAAAGAAAGTGAATTAGACAATTGTATTTAACTACTGCCTGTGTGAAACTCCTTTTCATCTTTGGATTTTTTCATAATGTTTTAAGGAATTATTGAATAGTACAAAATTAACTTTCAACTTTTTAAATTAACATTTAATAGTCACATATGTAAAACATGTGGTTAATCTGCAAAACAGAAGGAAAGAGAAGGTCGTGATTCCAAGGTCCAGTTTTGTCAAGTTATGCTGGACTTGGGTTTTGATAGTAAACTTGTTAATATAAATTTGAACAGATGTTCTGTAAAGAAGTGGTGCTTCGTGTTGACTGTTTATGTAAAGGAATGTGATGAAGGGTGTTCTGTCGTAGTCATGCTTTTCAGCTGTACATTTTGCAGCTCCTGATAATCTGCAATACTGAATGCCAGGTTTCTTCTCTAATTACCCTCTTTGATTACTTCGAGAAATTGGCATTCAGATTAGAGCAGCTCTTGGCACTCGAATTATTGGTGCTTTAGTAAAATGTATTATAGAAAGATGTAACTGGTTGACAGGATACTTTCAGTTTATAAAAGTTAGTGTAGTTAAAATGAGCTGGTTTCACTGTGGTAATTATGCACCAATTATAGTAAAATATTTAAATAGATGCCAGTAATGATGTGACTAACTCAGATATAAAGCCTGCGTTTCTTTTCTCGTAGAGTTATGCTTATTTCTGTGTCATTTTTGTTTTTGATTCATATGATTATGAAAATGCTGTTTAATTATTCCAGGCAGACATTTCTTTCCAGTGAAAACCTGATATTTAATACTGATTTTGAAGACTTGGATAGTAGGATTCTGTGTTCATTACTGTAAGACAAAGGTTTCATTTCTGTCAGTTGATTGCATTCTGTGGTCACCAAAAGCAGCAAGGAGGCAAAAACTGCAAATGCTCTTATATTTTTCTAAAAAAAACCTATGTATGTGGTGCTTGTGCAATGTACTATTAAAACAGAAATTTATTTTGCTACTTATTACCCATGAAGGCACATTTGGACTTGGTAGTCTCTAATTAGAAGTGAGATATTAACATTTCATAGGGATTTATGTTAGAATGTGGAATGGCGGGCGGCTGCTTCCTCATTATGAATACTCTCTGCATGTAATGAGGTCCATCATTAGTTGATGGAGTGGATTTGCCCCAGCTCTACCTTGAAAGGCAGATAATTTACATAGTTCTCCAGAGCTTATGGTTTAATGGGTTCTTTAGTGAATAAAATGAAAAGCTACATCTTTAAATTTTGTATCATCAGCCTTTTGGTAATTTACTGTTTCAATTTTGATTTTCATAGCTTTTTCAGTATTAGAATTTTAAAAACTGATTCTTAAGCATATATTTGTTTAG